CAAACAAACAAACAAACAAATTGGCCATTCTCACAACATTTGGAACTACTGTCCAGAGTCTTATCACTCAGCAGGGCACTGGCAAATAATAACCAAAGCCATAGAGAACCCATACTTGACATTTTAAAAGAAGCCTACCCAGTTATAATTCCTTTAACCCACTTAACGGAATTACCACATCAGGAAGAAGGATGGGGTTAGGCGTAATTTGGGAAAGGATGTTGTCAGTTTTGGGTGATCCACACAGCCAAGTCTTATTTGCTAAATATAATGCTCACAGTCCCAGGACTCCTAAAATACTACAAAGGACCCACTCCCATGGTTCCTCAAACATAGGTGTCCTCAGGAGATACACTCTGTCCACAGTCACAGTCAACGTTTTTAGGCACAGCACCTGTCTCGTTGGGATGGGGGCGATTCCAGAAGAATAAATGTCCAATACAACAAATCACAACCAGAGTGCCCAGACTCACTAAAGCCAGACCCACTGCACCTATGGCTATGTATGTTTGGATTACCATTCCCTGAAATATATTTAGCCTACGCAACACACTCTACCCTTAATATATTAAAAGTTGTTTTTCTCATCCTAGTTTTCAGCCTTATGTAGAGGGTCAACTTCCGGAGTGACACCAGTAAGAACTCTTCTGCCCCGTTTGTTGTCTGCCCGTTGCCGGTATGGCACTTATAGGGGGCGCTTCTTCAAGCAGACCACTAGAGAACGGGCTTCATCCTGGTCTGCCTCCCAATACTCATCAGCTGCGGGCTTAACTCGAGTCCAGTGAATCCAAGACTTGGATTCCAACACCTTTACTGCAAGTGGAGAACCCATGACCACAGTATACGGGCCCTTCCACTTAGATTTCAAGTTCTCTCCAGTGTTTTACCCATACTCTGTCTTCTACTTGAATATTATGACTAGGGGTACTCAGAAACGGTGGACTGAGGGACACACAGTATTGTTGGATTTCCTGTATTTGCTTGTTTAATTCTTCCACCATTTGACTCACCCATGAGGCTCCTAGTTGACTTAGGTCCTCTATATGATTTTTCAAGTTAGTACTTATAGCCGAGGGTCTTCCAAACATCATTTCAAAAGGAGATAACCTAATTCGCTTTTGTGGAGTGCACCGCACAGACCAAAGTGCTAGCGGCAATGCATCCACCCATTTAAGGTGAGTTTCAAGACACACCTTTGTCACCTTTTCCTTTATAGTCCTGTTCATTCTCTCTGCTCATCCTCCCGATTGAGGATGAAAAGAACAGTGGAATCTCCAGTGGGTCCCTAAGGATTTTGCCAGTGTCTGAGTTATTTGATGTACAAACTCAGGTCCATTATCTGATGATATACCATATTTTTCAGAGCATAAGACGCACCGGAGTATAAGACGCGCCAAGGATTTGAAGAGGCAAATTAAAAAAAGTAGGTAGGTAGAGAGGGAGAGAGAGGGAGAGAGAGGGAAATACAGTAGGTAGGTAGGGAGAGAGAGAGTAGTTAGGTAAGTAGGTAGGTAGATAAAGGGGGGGGGAGAGAGAGATACAGTAGGTGGGGGGAGAGAGTAGTTAGGTAAGTAGGTAGGTAGATAAAGGGGGGGGGAGAGAGAGATACAGTAGGTGGGGGG